ATCCTGCTGCTCCAACTGTCACTGGCAGGAAGAAAGGATAGTGCTGAGCCTCAGCAATGACTGCAAGGTGGTTCAGTGAAGAAACAGGAAAGACAGGCAGGAAGGAAGAAGAGAAAAAAGAAAACCCAAGAAAGTTTGGTCTCAGATGTCAAAACAGATCTACTGCCAGACATAATGAATTTTCCCAACAGATGTTACTTAGAAACAAACAAGACTCTCAAGCCTTAGGATCATGCCCGTAGGAAGTTTTAAGTTCAGTCTGCATCTTTATATAAGTGCTGTCATTGTATTAGTCAACTGTTAATATAGAATAATGAATCAGGGTGAATGGTAGATTAATTAAGTAGATGTGCCCTCTGACTTAATCAGTTTAAAATTGAAATGCATCAGCCTTATGAAGTGATTGTGGATGTTCCAAAATTCATTGCTCAGAATGTAATTTAGTTGGAATACACCAAAACCCAGTAAAGCCTACCCCTACCAAGGCATTAGGTATTATGGCATTTCTGTCTTTAATCTTTCAGATTGGTAACTTAAATACACACAGCTTAGACCTTGCTTTCTACATGTACCTTATCCTGAAAATAAAAATAAAAAAAACCCTACTTAGATTTTTTTTTCTGCTATTAAAATGACCTTAGCATGGCATTCTCTTCTAAACACTGCATCAAACTGGCTTTTTGAGCAACTGAAAGGAAGAACATTGATCACATGCTCTTGTGCTGGAACCAGGCCTATAAATATTCTGGCCATTTCCAAATGAATGTGTCATGCTGTAATGGATATCCTGAAAAAGAACTGATGCAACAGCACCAACAGAAATATTTATATATATTTTTAAAAGATTTCATCAACAGGTGGCTTTCATCTACTACACAATATTGCTAGCTTAGCTACTGCAATATTGTGAACAGATGTTTTTAAGCATCATCAATAGGATTACTCTAGAATTTACTCATCATAAATCAGCATACTGCAATGTCCTTTCTGGTGGGCAGTTTATACATCCTGCTTCCATCAGTTCATCTATACAATAGTTCAAGTGAGGATGAATGAGCTCACTTCTATTTAAGATGACAGCTTGATGCAGCATTTCAAGGCTTAGCCTAACTTGCCCTTACCTGAGGTCAGACAGCAACCAGTCCCAGAAAACATGTTTGTTAGATGTGACTGAAAACAGTTTAGCACTTGTATTAAAGTCATAATTAAGCATGAACAGTGTGCCTTGATGTTGTGTAAATGAATTACACATTCCATGCCCAGAGGACTATTCAGCCTAGTTCTGTGACAGACAAAACATTATAATTGATCCAAGAAATTAATGAAAAGAGTACCAAGAGGTTAAGTAGGCTATCATTCTGACCGAACCATATTTTATGCTGTTTCTCATATAATATACCTCGACAAAGAAGGTGGAGCTCAGTTTAATCCAGCACGCCTTCACTAAAACAGCTGGCACAAAATATCAGATGGGCTTGTTAGCAGCTTCCTCTTGAGAGCTGTTACATAACCACGGGGACTGTAAACAAGAGAAAGAAATGGAAAATAACTAGACAAAAATTTCAAGGAAAAAAAGTTGTTTATATGCATCTACCTTTGTAATTCTAACATGGATAGAAAAATGAAACTTGAGTTTCTCCTCAGCTATGTAAACTCTAATTTAAATAGCTTTTCACAGCAGATTTTTTTTTTCACAGTTTATATCAGCTAGACGTTTCTCAGAAGCACAGAGCAATTGATATTGTTGACATCCTTACCCAGAAGTTTCTCTTCTCTCTCTAAATCATAACACTGATCTGAGAACCCTAAGCCAAATGACTAGATACATATCACAAAAAAAAAATTGGTGCTTAAGAGAAACTGCCCCTTTTTCTACATAAGCTGGAGGAAACTTCAAAGACGGGGCAGGAAAGAACAGGCTAAGATGCCCAATTAGGAGATCAGAGTGCGCTTCACATTGCAAGGTACTTAAAATGTGGAGGGGAAAGGAGGATCCTTGTTCAGTGGCAAAGCCTTAATGCCTCATTGTATGGATCCAAGCAAAGGGAGGCGGCAAATGCTCACCAGGCAGAAACATCCAGGACAGATCCTACCCTGCTCCTGCTGCAGAGCAGGGAGGCTGCCTTCCTTCACCTCTGCTGAGACACACTGGGAAAACTAACACATGTTGCCACAAGTAATCCCAGCATTCAGATATATTATGCCTTTCTCAAAGGTGCAAGCTTTGAAGGCCTGGGTACTCAAAGGAACTGTGCCTATATAGAAGGGCCTAAATCCAGATATTGACTCACTGAATCCCCAGATAAGCTTATGCCAAGATCAATCCCAATTCCTACAGGAGCTATTCATCTCATCGCACTTATGGGTTCTGCTATATAATGTCTGCAGCTGAGATAGTCCCCTTGCTCCTGACAGGCAATGGAGAGAAATGGGCTATTTCATGGCACACTTCATCTGGCCTGTTTGAAGGGCTAGATTCAGCACTATAAAATATAATTCTTGTGCATCTAAGCTAGATTCAAAAGGGCCCCTGGCCCTGTACCAGGTGCTTTGTTCTTGTACCTTGCCTCTCCCATGCAATTGGAATGGGCAAGAAGAGATGGCTCAGCCTCAGACAGCTGATGAGGTTACTGTGCCCCTGTCCCCCTCACCCTCCCTACACTCATATTTGAGCTGTTCATAAACCAGCTGCTGAACCACTGGAGTTATTTAGCACTTTAAGGGTGGGGTAAACAACTAGAGGTGATAACCACATTAGCTCTCTCAAGCTGGCAGCAATACATAAATTAATCAGAGGCCTCAGACACACTGAAAAGGGATACACAGCAGCAAACTAAGCAGGAAGCTACTTAAGCTAGCCAGTGGCAAACACAGACAAGTGCAGTGTAAGATCACAGACACACACGCAAACACACACATGTACAAGCTGGCTTGGAGACTGTACTATGTAATCCAAGTGTCAGGACATTCATTAGACTCAGCCTCTGTTTCCTGTTCCTCCGCTGAAAGATTTTAACTTATACCTTTCAACAAAACATCAACCACCAAGTTGCCACAGCCAGTTCCCACTGCCATGCCTGCCTCACCCCCTTCTACCCCCCTACTCCACCTCCCTTTTTATTTTCTTTCTTTTAAAAATACTATTAAATTTTCTGGATCCCTATCAATCCCAGTGGATAGAGACCTATTTCTCCTTCCTCCATAGTAAATGTGCTAAAACAGGTTTTCTATAAATCATTATTTTTCCTACCCTCTGAATACTGCATAGGGAAATACAGCAGGAACATCAGTAGGAGGGCAAAAAGTACAAAAAACCCAGCTCTGGCTAGTGTTACAGCATTCTCCTGGATAAAATATTTTTTTTTTTCATCCACTGAATCAAAATCTCCTGTCTGAAATCAAGTACCTTAATAAATGGTTGATTCAACACCACAAAACAGTCCTTTTTCTCATGAAATTGTACATATACTCCACACATACTTTTGCTGTAACCACAAGCAAGGCAGGATAAAAAGGGGATGAGAAAACCTTTCTCTCCATTTTAAGCTGTGGGCTACAGACCTAAGGATTGATGTGGTCAGGACTCAGGCAGGTAGCACAAACTCAGAAAGAGAAGGATGGGTCCTGTGGGAATTTCACTAGAAGAAACTAGCCTAGAAAGAACTGGTATGAGGGAGAGAAGGTACGTGGGAAGGTACAGGAATGCCAGTGACACCTAGAGACATCCTTAAGTGCTAAAGAAGCATTTAAACATAATTCCTCCCATTAATCTAACCCACCAGCTCAGGTGGTTCAATTGCCTGCACAAAGAATTGTGCTATGCTGCCAGAAAGCTGCATATCTATGAAAATAACTGGAGAATTTCAGCCATCACCTTCTATACACTAAGGACTTATTTTCTTGGGATGAAAGAAGCAGCTGCAGTGGGCAGGAAAGTAAAAATATCCTGCCTGTTCATACATTCTTTTCATATAGTTTGAAGAGCACTTCCCCTCTTCATTATGCTCAGCACTGGCAGATAATGCAACTTCCCTCTAGAACCACATGCACTATTTGTACATGTTGAGTCCAACATTAACCTACAGAGCCATTCTAAGTAAAAACACATTAAAGAGAAGTGTAGTTAAAAACAGAGTTGTGATCATGTACTGTACTCAGTGTGCTTAAATAGTGCACGTAATATAATTCATTGTAATAACCACTCACTACTCAGGTTTCTAACACAAAGGAAGATATAGAATAGAATTACATTTCAGACTGGAACTAATTCTGGAGTACAGCCAATCCCATGCAATCCATAAAAATTCCTGTGTCAAAATGATGTGTCCCGTTGTCTTGATGTCTTGACCAAGGTTTCTAAGTTTCTCATTTCTCTGACATCCTCCACATTGACAAAATTACACTGAATATACATTATTCTAAGTGCACCAGCACTGGAGTTCTGCTCAGGAATCTACTCCTTTGCAATTTTTTCATCAGCTTATGCAGTACTGAATGCTGTCATATAGCTAGCTCTCTTCTGTGCAAATTAAAGAGACTCTTGAAGTGGTAGTGAAAAACAAAACACCACTGCAAAGATTTCCCTTTCACCTGCAACTACCTTACCAAGTTACCTTCTTTACTTACAAGTCACTGATGAACTGAATACTATAAAGTAACAGTAATACTTAGCCCTCTTGTAAATAATTCTAAATTATGGACTTCTCAATAATCATATATGTCCTCATAAACTAAATTAGTATCCCTTTGTTATATATTTAACCCTGCAAGTTTTCATTCAGGTTTCCTATCTGAACTGAAATGAGATGATCAAATTTCTGTTGTTATTCAAGGATGTTTTTTATTATATATTTTTTTTTTCTATTTCTTTCACTTATTTGCATGGGAGAATCAGAATGACAGTATGCCAAAGCATATGGAACAATGGCAGGATGCACAAGTGTCCTGCATTTGCATAAAGTCTCTCCTAATCTGAAAAGCCACTGAAAGAATGAGAAAACTAATCCACATTATAACATAGTAAACCTTCTTAAGATTATTAAGTAACCTCTGCACTCCTGGCAGGATACAGGTTCCTCCTTCCTTCAGCTGTAAGCTCCGGCCAGCAGATGGTAGGTGCTCTCAATCAGAAAAGCAGCAAAGTGCACCTGACAAGAAAGGAGTCTTAGAGAGGATGTGTGCAAAGACCACTATTTCCCCTGGCTGGTACACCAGCCAGTGGGGGATTTCATCCAGCAAGATAGGAATGCATCGTTAGAGACCTCCAGTTGTTAGAGACTGAATACATATGAGGGCTAAGATTTTTGAAGCCAAATTCCTACTAAAAACAATAGAAATTTGGGTGTACAAATCCCTTAGTCTCTGTCCAGCCAAAGCAATTTCTCTCTCCCCAGCCTCTAGCTGCTACCCATTGCTTAGTACTGCTGGCACAATTTTTTAGACAGATTTGTTGCACAAAGAGAGACTTATTAAAAACAGAAAAGAATGTGTTGTTCCTCTCTAGCCAGAATCATAGTTTAAAAATCTGTGGGCCTGATTTTCCTGAATGCTCAAAAGACACAAAACAGTTATAAACCCATATGAACCACCTAAGCTCAAGTATACGGCTGTTTTTCATCTCCAGTGATTCAAAGGAGGTATGTTTACTACTGCCATTGGCACAGCATGCTTCCAGAAGAGACAAACAAAATCACTTTTTTTTTTTTTCTTTTTAAACACTTTGTTATTTATTGGTTCAGAGGCTAAGGATAACTTAATATAAAACCAAAATATTTTCATCTTATTTTACAATTATTCTCTTTAACTATTAATAGCCTATAAGGCCACACTGTTCAGATCCCTCTTCTGCCTTCCCATTTCACTCTATAGCTGAATTGACTAAAAGACATGAGGATAGTTACCTTTTTTTGAGCTAAAAAGTTGCAATTCTTGTCTCTGTCCGAGGTGAATATCACCCCAGGAAGACCAGCAGCTTAGTGCATTTTTGTGTCCAGATCCAGGGCTACTTGTACAACCACCTCTTCTATTAGTTTCTATTTAAGTAATGTGACTTCAGTTAGGTATTTGTGCTTTTGCCAGGAATAAAGAGGGGAAATAAAGCAGCCCTTCAAAAACTTTCTCAAAGCAATCAGAGGGCAAGTCAGCTGATGAGTATGTTTATTGCTCTTAAATAACTTGGGAGGCAAGGAGGGACCATTTCAGTGCTGGGAAACCTGTTACCAAACAGACCACACTCCAGGTAAAATGCTGTGGGGTTTGGTTTAGGGTTTGGATTTTTTTTTATTTTTTTTTTGTCTGCTTCATTGATGAGTATCACAGCAAGATTATTTTTTCCCTGTTACAATTCTGAGATGAACAGAGACATCAATTGTCAACCCAGTGTCCTAGGGTATTAGCTGCCTGCCAGAAGCCCAAATCCATGATATTACTGACACACTGCCAAGCTTCAGTTAGTGATCCAACCATTTCCCAATGCTGTTCATGAGCACTAATAAAACTGTCAGGTGTGATTCAGACCAGACCAACCAGAAGTGACTACTGGCTCTACGGAAGGGCTGGGGGAACCAGGGACACAGGTAGTATTCTGGCCAACCTTCCTAATGGAGGTGAAAAATAAATCATGTCAGACCATTCTATTGTTTCCGTGTTTATGGCTCACAGGCTAAGGGAGAAACAGAAGAGAGGATCTCAAGTTTAGTAAGATTGTGATACATGCTGCACAATGCGCCCTCAATGCTTTCAGCAGTCAACAAATGTGTTCTGCAAAACACATTACTATATGATTCTTGGATGAAAACTGTTTGTTATTCCTTTGTGAAAAGATTGCCTAAAGCCCAGTTAGAAGTAAGATGATGGAATATTAAGGTACACTTCAAATTTGCCGGGCATGCAGATGTGAAGAGTAGAAAAACCTTCACAAGACAGGTTCAGAGTTGTCAGTCATTCGCTGTGAAGTTGGTGGGGTGGAATAAAAAGACAAATTCTGCACCTCAGTAGGAAAATCAAATGTACAATTACAAAGCAGAGAAAAGCAAGTTAGCTACAGAATTGCAGGAAGATCTTAGATACAAACGTGCAAACTAAGTTAGCAGTATAATTCACAAATATGGCATTTTATGAGAGGCAATGAGTCCACACCTCTTGGCACTAGTGATGCCTCAGTTCTGAACAATATGTTTCAACATTTATGCAGACAATCTGAAGAGTCCAGAGAAGAGCAGAAAAAAAATACACCACTTTGGAATATACGATCTAGGACGAAAAGCTGAAAGACTTGGGTTTGTTTAGTCTAGAAAAGAGACTGAGGGAAGACATAAGTCTTCAAATATGCAAGATGCTGTTATAAATATGACAGTGATCAACTGTTCTTCATGTCCTGCTAGGTTAGAAGAATAGTTCCGCTTACCGTGTGGTAAAAGAAGATTTGTTAGCTATTAGGACAAAATAACTAACAAAAACAACCATGCACTGGAACAGCTCACTGAGGCTGGTCATGGAATCTTCATCACTGGAGTCCATTATGGAAAGGTTAGACAAATCCCTGTCAGAAATAGTCCTTGGCTAGGCCACAAAACAGAGACAGACTGGTTGCCTGAGCTCCCTCCCATTCCTGCACTTCTGATTTACTAGGGAATATGAAGTTTCTTGCACAAGCCACTTTTTACAGTTTAACAAGTCACACTGACTAATACATTGCATGCAAAAAATTCTATCCAGATGCCAAGTATTTAAAACTCTATTTAAAACTTTACCACTGTAAAAACTGTTATCTTCTAGCAAGAAAATTCAGGAAGTAGTACTCTGTGATATTACCAAACCAAAGGAGAACCCAAGTAATTTCGAAAGACCTTTCAAAATCTTGTGCGTGTCTTCAGGACAAGGTCAGAAAAGACCAACAACTTTTCTCTGTCAGAAGGTAAGAAAACCCCAACACAGCTGGGGTTGTCACAACCTGGCAAAAGCCAACACACAACAGTGGCTTAAGGCTATATGGAAATTTATTCAACACACTGTTATAGAAGGAATGCTCTTGTGTTCAGCAAATCTTGAGTATAAAAACTAGCATATAACAAGCTGATATGCTTCAGAAGCTTTCACACTGAAGCCACCTGGGGTGCTTATAACTGATGAACCTGCTGAATTTACTGAGCACATCAGTCAATAAGTAATGAATCCCTGAATACTTGGAGCATCACATTAGAATAGTGAATACTTATTGTCTGGATCAAACTATAATCAGTTCTTTCAATAAGGGCATAAAAAGCACCTGTGGCTTGTGAAGCCCACCAAGAGCCCATTACAGACCTATTGACAAAAGCATTGTTTCATACCGTGTGTGAAACTTCTACTACAAAGAACCCAATTCCTGTCTCAGACTTACATGCTGTTGAGCAAAATGAAGAAAAAAGACAGGAAGGCTACTCCAAAAGAATTGACAAGAATGAAAAGATATATTAAAAGCAGCCACACTACCGGTTATGGCAGGTAATACGCTTCTTTGTGGCAAGTCCACTCAACTGGTGAAAGCATCAAGCCTAGCAAAGGCCTGCATAGACACAAGGGCATACTGTTAAAGTCTAGAACAAAAATCATGTAAAGCTAAAATCTTTAACACCTTGAGAGACATTATCATCTTTACAAAAGACCCACTGGAACAGCTAAGATGATCTGACAAGGCATAATTCAGAAAAGTACCTCACCTCCTTGAAGTCTGGCAAACATCAATGGTATCCAGGCAATTGATGAATGCTGTCTTGGTCAGAAAGATTCTCCTGAGTTATTCCCCCTCAGAAGCATTTAACAAAAGCATCTGAAGACAGCCTGGAATAATGTATGCTACCTGCTAGGATAATTCATAAAAGCAATAGCCATGGGACTGGAAGAAGCTCAGTTTACTTGCTAAACTGTTTAATGCAAGTTACTGCAAAACATCTTTCTGTTTTATGACATTTCTACATACAGATCCGTTTTTCAGAGATCCCATTCCTGCATTCCTTGTAAACCCAAAACACCCACTGACATCATTAGGCAATGCATTGGCATCAGAAACACAGGATGAAGCCAATAGAGGTTGTGGGTAGCCAAAACTGTGCTGGAGACAGTTCGTCCCGGTTCGGTCAAACTAATTTTTGAAATCACAGCTGGTTCACAAGTTGTGAACGTCCTATGCTCCTAGCAGACCCCACTCCCCTTTACTGCTGGCAGCTCTTTGAGAAGCCGATCCACCCATGCACTGTGCAGATGGCTACACTTCTTCCCTCCTCAACCCTCACAAGCTAGGAACCAGAAACCCCTTCTCCTAGGCTTAGGGAAGTGGTTATTCCCACTTCCCAGCCCAGCCCCACTCCTATAATCCCTGGCCCCACTCCCAGAACCAGTTCATATGCAATGGGCTACACATCCTACTAGAGGAGAAGAGCTAGGAAGGACTGTTTTGAAAAAAATTAAAATCTTATTAATGAATACAATACGAACTTCAAAGTCCTACTGGGGAGCAGTATTTGTGTAACGGCAAAAAAAAAAAAAAAAAACACCACAAATGTATCTTGAATCCTGACACTACTAAAGGCAGCAGAGGGAAACACCCAGGGAGCCAGGATTTCAATCAACAATTTATTTGAGTACCCACTCTTGTAGTGGATGGAAGGAATCTGCTTGAGAGAAATGCAGGAAAGGAAACTACAGATGGAAGGAAAACAGAGATCACAATAGCAAAAAGCAAGGGTTGAAAAAAAAAGCCAGAGTGAATGATAATGAAAGCAGCTAAACAAACTTGAATCCATGTTAGTTAAAATGGGAAAAAAGCTCTGTTAGATTAGTTAAATAAGCCTCCTGTAAAGAGTCAGTGAGCCCTTAATTTTCTGTTATTCAAACTTTTCTTAGACAACATATCCTTTTTCAGCCCACACATATGACCACCATACCACCCAATGCATATTAAGTACAGCAGGGAAGCTGCAGATTCAGGACTAACTGCTCTCAATCTAACAAAATAATTTTGACCATTAGCTTGCAGGGGACAGAGCAAATTGAGCCCTTGAAGCAAAAGTCTTTTCTTCGCATAATTACGGTCACTTGCCCCCATGCAGCTGACAAAATCTTGGGAAGGTAGCCACCTCTCTGGTTCTGAACATGTTATCTTCTACATTTCTAGCAAACCCAGCTTCTTGGATTTAACAGGCTTCAGCTAGCCATTTACTGCTGAAGTTCATGGATGTATGACCTCTTGGATAAACCCTGAGGAAAAAGCAGAATCTCAAACACAAAACTCTTTTCAGAAAATCTCTCTCATATGGGGGTGCAGCGGAGCCACTGTAAAGCAAAAATCCTTTTTCTTTTCTATATTAGAGTTGATGGTTCAAGATTAGATTGTAGAATTGGTTTCTCTGAGCACAGTCTTTTGACTACAGCAGTACACTCCTGTCCATTGAAGCAGGCAGACAGAACCACAGTTGTTATTTTCTTTACTTTCTAGGGAATGATATTATACAGGAAGAAAAAACAAGGCCATAGAACAACACCAGTATGACTGATATCTTTAAATTAGACAGTTACAGGTCTGAGTTTTCTTTCTGCAAAACTGCCGCCAAAATCCAAGGACCAGATCTCATCAGACTTCCTGTCAGTCTCCTCAGATATTGGATGCTATTCACAGATTGAACCCTCTGGATTACAGACATCATCCACTGGGAGATACCTATTTTGTAGTTTTTCCTTCTATCTGACTGCTCTGCTATGCAGCATCTTCTGCTTCTCACTCTCTCCTCTATGTCCTTAACATTAGTTTTCCTGCTTTAGTGGAGCCAGTGTACAGATATTCCAAAGAAAGAAGCCAAAAATCTAAACACTCTCCAAATTTCTCTATTGTACTGTTTGGCACATACAGAAAACAACTTTTGACACTGTGTTTTTCATTATGATGAGAAGATCTGAAACTATGGCTCCCATCACACATCAGAACTTGATTTTGATAGTTCTGAAAACAGTATCATTACCTACCCACTACATTACTAACATCTCCAGAATCATTACTACAAGTTCATCAAAAATAATCACCTGAAAACTAACTAGACATAATATATCCACCAAAAAAAATCAGCAGTCTCATACTTCAGCAGCCTTGTTTTCTATGGATACATTTTATGTTTGATTTCCTATTTCCAGAATTATTTTTTTTTCCTTCATTGCTATATTCTCTTGCAACTAAGGAATGTGAAATAGTTCTTCAAGCCTCCTTGAAGTCTATAATTAATTTTACAGCCAGACCAGATTGTTTCAAGCTTAGCCTTTTAATTTTACATTTGGCTTTTGGGGAGAAAAAAAAAAAAAAAAGGAAAAAATAGAAAGAAAAAAAAACACAAATGTTTCCTTCAATCTTTTGATTAATTTCACAGAATTTCCAGGAACACATAAGCCACATATCAAAACTTTGCAATTTAAAGTCCCATTCTGGGATCTGGAAGAGCCTGCAGTTAACATTCATTTCAATTACAATACTCTATCACGCAGTGGAATCTGTGTTCAGTGGCATTGGAATGTGGATTTAGTTTAACAGTACTTTTACTTCGATTAAGGCAAAATGTTCACAAGGTATGTGACAGTCAGGGGGAAATATTTTTTGAATAAAGCAATAAAGACGAAATTTTATAACCTCCTTTGACAGCAGATTAAATTCACCTTTTGCATCCTTGACCAAAGCTGAAGCAATTCAATTGATGCCAAAGGAATGAAACTGCTGTAGAAACACTTGGGGCAGTCCTACTTTTTTTTAAATCAGTAGCAAACTCCCACTGACTTCAAATCCCATACATGTAGCTCACAGCCACAGCACTGCTCTTGGTTGGCCTACTAACCTTTGTGACTTAACACATGCTACACTTCCCGTTTGCAGCTTCTGAGGAAGCCCTCTGTGAAGGTTCCTGGCCTAAGGTATCATTTTCTTTGTTTACTGTCTGGCTGCATAGATGTCTGGCACAGATTTCAAAGTACAGTAGCTTGAAAATATGCTTGGTGCTTTTGTGTATAAACTGCAGTGGATTGCATCACACATCCTGCATTCGAAACTAAACTCACGTAACTAGTGCTCTCTGTATTATTTGTGGTTTGCATGAAGCAGGTAATAAAATGCAGCCGTATCAGTAGCACAGCTGAGTAGTTTAACATCATTGACTAAAGTGGATTTATTCCAGAGTGACATAAAGTAAATGAGTTCAGGATATTTTTCTTTATGTGCGTAAGAAAGATATATACACTATATTCTGAAAGATCAGCACAGTTCATCTAATCCACTGCCAACATTCACAACACATACAAGAAATTCTATATTGTACAGTTACTGAATTACATTTACTCCAGTTTTTCAGGGCTTGGCACTGCCAAATGCTCTAAACAAATTCAAAAGCACATAAAAAGTACCAACTTAGTCACAACAAAACAAGTGTCTCAGAGCAGTAAGAAAACTATTCTATAAGCTTCCAGGGAGGTTGTTTACAGTATTGGCTGGGCTGGATTGTACTGAACTTGCTGAAGTCAAGCATTTAAGCAATATTTAGTTTATTTAAGCCAGTGATACAGAATCACAGCTAAACAGCCCAAGAACACCAAGGCAGTGGTGGGAAAACACAGTAGGTTAGATTCCAGCCCACCTTGAATGTATCCTTCCCAGTCCAGCTTCAGTGGAATATTACAACTACTCCTACCACCACATACAGAGTTTGTCCCTTTTTCCGATTTTATTGCTGATTTTGTGCTCCAGACTACTATTACTTTATTACCAGCCCTTCTAAAAGGGCTGAAACAGCCATGGCAGCAGCAGTACTGGAGTCACAGTGAATCCCGAATCATGATAGACCCTTGGCACCAGTGTTCCTTCTCAGGCCTTGAATTTCTCACAGGTCATGGATGTTGGCAATTTAGACACAAGAGGCAAGCTCTGGCTTGTTTCTTCTATGCTAAATAGGACAAACAGAGAAACATCAAGGGTTTGGGAGGAATAAGCAATACCTCCTTTGATCTGGACAGGAGGTGCTGCTCCAACAGGAAAAAAATTGACCAACAAGGCTGAAATCTGGCTTTTACAGTATCACAGTATGTTAGAGATTGGAAGGGACCTCAAAAGATCATCTAGTCCAATCCCCCTGCCGGAGCAGGAACACCTAGATAAGGTTACACAGGAACGTGTCCAGGCGGGTTTTGAATGTCTCCAAAGAAGGAGATTCCACAACCCCCCTGGGCAGTCTGTTCCAGTGTTCCGTCACCCTCACTGAGAAAAAGTTTCTTCTCAGGTTTAAGTGGAACCTCTTGTGCTCCAATCTGTACCCATTACCCCTTGTCCTCTCATTGTTTGCCACTGAGAAGAGCCTGGCTCCATCCTCGTGACACTCCCCCTTTATATATTTATATACACTAACAAGGTCACCCCTCAATCTCCTCTTCTCCAAACTATAGAGACCCAGCTCCCTCAGTCTCTCCTCATAAGGGAGATGCTCCACTCCCTTAATCATCTTAGTTGCCCTGCGCTGGACTCTCTCCAGCAGGTCCCTGTCCTTCTTAAACTGAGGGGCCCAGAACTGGACACAATATTCCAGATGAGGTCTCACCAGGGCAGAGTAGAGGGGAAGGAGGACCTCTCTCGACCTACTAACCACCCCCCTTCTAATACAACCCAGGATGCCATTGGCCTTCTTGGCCACAAGGGCACAGTGTCGGCTCATGGTCACCCTGTCGTCCACCAGGACCCCCAGGTCCCTCTCCCCTACACTGCTCTCTAACAGGTCGTTCCCCAGCCTATACTGGAACCTGGGGTTGTTCCTGCCCAGATGCAGGACTCTACACTTTCCCTTGTTAAATTTCATCAAGTTATTCCCCGCCCAGCTCTCCAGCCTGTCCAGGTCCCTCTGGATGGCAGCACAGCCTTCTGGCGTGTCGGCCACCCCTCCCAGCTTAGTGTCATCAGCAAACTTGCTGATAGTACACTCAATTCCCTCATCTAAATCGTTGATGAATATATTAAATAATACTGGTCCCAGTACCGACCCTTGAGGCACTCCACTAGATACAGGCCTCCAACTAGACTCCGCCCCATAGACTACAACTCTCTGGCTTCTCTCCTTCAGCCAGTTCACAGTCCACCTCACTACCCGATCATCCAGACCACACTTCCTCAATTTAGCCGCAAGGATGCTGTGGGAGACCGTGTCAAACGCTTTGCTGAAGTCGAGGTAGACCACATCCACCGCTCTACCATCATCCATCCACCGTGTTATTTCCTCATAAAAGGCTACGAGATTGGTCAAGCACGACTTCCCCTTGGTGAAGCCATGTTGACTGCCCCTCATAACCCTCTTATCCTTGATATGCCTTAAGATGGCACCAAGGATAAGCTGTTCCATCACTTTCCCAGGAATGGAGGTGAGGCTAACCGGTCTATAGTTACCCGGGTCCTCCTTCTTGCCCTTTTTGAAGACAGGAGTGACATTTGCTTTCCTCCAGTCCTCAGGCACCTCTCCCGTTTCCCAAGACTTGGTAAAGATGATGGAGAGCGGTCTAGCAATGACCTCAGCCAGTTCCCTCAGCACCCGCGGGTGCATCCCATCTGGACCCATGGATTTATGGATATCCAGATTGCTCAACTGGTCTTTAACCCATTCCTCATCGACTAAGGCAGACCGCTCCGTTGACCTATCTTCATCCGGGGTCTCAGCGGTACAGGGCTCTTCAGGACTGCCTCCAGCAGAGTAGACAGAGACAAAGAAGTCATTCAGTAACTCTGCCATCTCTGTATCTTCTGTCACCAGGGCACCCGTCCCGTTCATCAGCGGGCCTACATTGCCTCTGGTGTTAGTTTTACCTGCCATGTATTTGAAAAAGCTCTTTCTGCTGTCCTTGACCCCTCTCGCCAGCTTTAATTCCAAGGAGGCCTTAGCCATCCTAGCAGCTTTCCTACATCCTCTAGCAGCAGCCTTATATTCTTCCCAAGTGGCCAGCCCTTCTTTCCATGACCTGTAAACTCTCCTCTTCCACTTGAGCATACCGAGCAATTCCCTATTTAGCCACGCAGGTCTCCTGACCCTCTTCCTCGACTTCCTACGTGTCGGGATGCTCCGATCTTGAGCTCGGAAAAAGCAGTCCTTGAACGTCAACCAACTATCTTGGGCCCCTTTCCCTTCAAGCAGCCTAGCCCACGGGATTTCCCCTAGCAATTGCTTGAAGAGGCCAAAGTTTGCCCTGCTAAAGTCCA